TCGAGTTGAGTTCGACCCAACACGTTTTTACTATACTGGCTGAAAGTATGAACCCAACTTATATATTAGCGGTTGTTATACAATGGACCATAGTCCGTAGTGCTATGTGGACCATGATTGTCAAATGAAACTGTAGTAGAATTAAAATGATACTTTAGTGTTGCTAACGCAATGTCGCCAGGTCTGTCCGCCATGCTGGGCAGCGAACGCTGCCGGCGAACTGCCAATGACGGTTCCTCTTATGAATTCTTGAGCGCCAAGGAAATCGGCTATGTGACACCCCGAAAATCTAAATGCTAATTGGGATTAATTAAGGAATTAATCCTAGCCTTCCTTGGTAATCTCTTCCTAAAAATCCTGAAATTTAATAGTCGAGGGACTAGAATTTGACTAGTCTCTTAAGTCAACCAAGTGTACCTTATGCCTTATGTTTTGTACCTTTACCCTTTTGTCTTTCCAACCTTAGTAAGGGTAAAAGTGACCTTTCACCCATGATTTGTTGTTCAAGCTATCTCTAGCAAGTCATTCCTTTCATTTTCTCATACTAGCCTAAGTTCCAAACACTCCATCATCTCTCTAAAAAGAACCTTGCTTATTCTTCAAGCAAAAAGGAGGACCTTCTAGCTTTGCAATATCCCACTCCAAGATTCCTACTTTCTTCTTCCCAAGCATAGGAAAGGGTAAGGTTCATAGCTATTTAGTGTTTTTAGTCATCTTTTAGGTGTCTTTATCTAAGATAGAATCTTTCTTGTGTTTTGGCTTGTGTAAGAAGTTGGTGGAGAAGAAGAACTCTAAGAAGAGGCTTAGGAGGGTGTAAAGGAGAAATTGTAGTCTAGAAAGGTAACCCATGCTATACAAAACCTATTTTCTATTGCTATGAATGATTATTGGCTTCTATTTGATGTTCTTGATGTTATTTGTGAGATTTGATGCATGATCTTGTGATGATGCATGTTTAGAGCTTGTATTTAGGTTTCTTGAATGCCATTGATTGGCTTATTCTTGGGTTCAAGTCATATCCTTGTTGTGTGTGATATTTTGGGTGTTTTGGACTTGAACTTGACCTTGTTGATGAAAATCCCTGAAGGGAGTTTTGGTGTTCAGGGCATGTACCCCGCGGGCACTACCCGTGGTCCCACCCGCGGGGAACATCATGGTTGATGTTCGGGAATTTGTTCCCCGTGATCCTTTTCTTCTTGGTATTGATGTTTTGACCTTCCGTTATTGAATTATTGAGCTATTTGTGAGTCTTCTTGATGTTTCGTATGTCTAGAACGATGTGATAGGAATCTATGTTAGGATTTGGTGTCTTGAATCGTGCTAAGGGTCCAACTTTGTGATTCGTTGGGCTAATATGAGTCTTGAAGGTTCGTTGGAACCATTTTGGTTTATCCGTTTGATAAGCATGCTAGTTTGATGTTGTTATGCTAGTATGTACGGTTTGTTCCTTCTTCTTAAGGATTGTCAACTCGTGTTGCCAATCATTTTGATGTCAGATTGTAATCCTTGATTGTTGAGTATTGTCTCATGACTTTGTTGAAATATCTTGATTGATTCATATGGTGTGATCTTGTACAAATTGTTGTACCCTTTGTTGATACTTGATTGGGGCTATTGATGAGCCTTAGTCTTCTTGATGATGATAACTATATGTGAATATGAATGAGATTGGTGGTTTCGTTACTTGAGCTTTGCTCACATGATCGGTGGTATGTTACTATGATTGTACGGTACCCTCGTGTACTATGAGTTCGGCAGTATTGTTTGGAGGGGGACGACGGTCCCAGACCGGGAAAAGGTTGGACGCAGAAGTATAGGGTGGCACTCGGAGGTACAGATTGGAACTGTGATAAGGTCGGGGGTAGCCATAAGGGTGGTACTAAGGTATAAGGTTGGAACGTGAATTTGTCATTATGTGATTGTGTATTTCCTTGCTTATATGCATGTCTATGATAAACTCTACCTTGTGAATGGTAGGTTGCACAAGGTAGGTTGCATCTAGAGTTGTGTTGTCCTTGGTTGTTTGTGGTTTTGTTGTCTTGTTGAGGGTGATGATCCTCGTTCTTATTTAGAGTGTGATGAGTCTTTGATGTTAATCTTCCTTTGATTTTAAAATGACTATATACTGTATTCCTCATTCTCAAATGCTTTTGATTATATCTATCTATATATTATGCTATTTAACGCGTATTGATTGGTTACCATTTAACGCGTAATGTATTGATGCTATTTAACGCGTATTGATTGGTTACCATTTAACGCGTAATGTATTGATGGGTTCGTTGTACAGATACAGGTTTTGCTTAGATTGGAGAGCGCGCTAGATGTGGACTCTGCTTAGATTTGGGCCTGTGAGCCTTAGATAGATGTAGGCTGACCAAAATCCGGGCCTGGGCCAGGCCTGGTCCGGTCCGGGGTTCCGGGGTCTCGGCCAACACAGCTCGGGACCGGCCTATGGTATTCAGTGCCGGTCCCGTGCCGGGCCTAGTCCGGGCTTTTTGTGGGCCGATCCCGGGCTAGGCCCATAATTTATTATATTGTTTATTTTTTTTAAATATATAAATTTTTATATAAATTGATATATTTTTGTTTGAAATGAGACTTGAACTCTTAACCTTTTAATTTTAATCTTAGTTACCAATTTAAGTTCTTTCCAAGAAAGCTACTACAACCTCTTAATACATTAATAATAATTAATCTATATATACACATTATACACAGTCACACACTTTTCTAAGATTAATATTTTTGTTATTAATCTCAAAATTTAAAATTAACATGATTTTCTACTAAATTAAAATTTATAAATGACGTTAAATACATTTGAACTTGTAGTCTTGTACTATTAAAACTTTATATAAGACTTATTGACTTAATATTATTTGATAACTTATAAATATTATAAAATGAGTATAGTTTATAAAGTTCATTTGATTTTTACTCACTAAATTATGTTAAAAGATAAATTAAAAAATTTTAAAAGACTTTTAAATTGGGTTTGCTTTTAATTTATGGAGAATTATTGTGAGTAGAAGTAAGAAAGTGTCGGATTAAGAATTTTTGTGTGATAAAAATAAATTGGATAAGAGTATTTATAGGGTAAAATGGTAAATAAAAAGATGAAAAACAAAAAAAATTTAGCCATTGCACTAGCCGAGAGGCGAGAACAGGAGTAGCCTCTACCGGAGGCCAAGCCTAGTCTAGCCTCCGACAGAGGCTACATGCTACGGCCAAATATATTTGGCCGTTACACGTTGCAAGGATGAGTAGTAAGTAATAAGTCTAGCTGCCACAATCAAAATTACTATTTTTTTTTGAATTATAGGCATTTAGCCATGGAAGCAAAGCTAGCATGCTTTGCTGCCATGGCTGTGTTTGCCCGAGCCTGGGCCGGTTAGGGGCCTGGGTCGTGCTCGGGTCTGGGCCATGGGCCAGTTCCGTGCTGGGCCACGATTTTTTTTTTTAAAAGGACCTGAACCGGCCCTTAACAAGGCGGTTCCGGTTTGAGCTAAGCCCGGCTCAGGCCCAGTGAGGCCCAGGCCCATTTTTTTTCGGGCTGATTCAGGGTTGGTTCGACCTTGAACCGGCGCGTGGCCACCTCTACTGTGCACCCATAGTAATATGGGTGTGGAATAACACCTTTCCCGGTTTATATTAGTTTCCGCTTTCTGATGTTCAATGCTTAGTCTGTTAATCTTTGAATTTAAGTTTTAAATTGTTGGTAAAAATCGGGGGTGTTACAAATTAGCTCTCAAGGGTAACGGGCTATCCGCGAACTGAAAGCAATACAGTCAGGTTTTGAAACTCTGGTCGTAAATCCCGAAACACAAAGATTAATCTCGTCCAATCCAATAGGCAGGCCGACTAGGATTACGTCCTCCATAATAACACGTGCACGACCAATACAATCAGCAACCGTGGAATCTCCTTGACTAAGAGACTGAAGTTGACGAAGGAGATTTAGTGACCGGACACGAGATGCGGAAGCCAAAGACTGTTCGATTGACTCCCAAACCTTCCGTGACGTACGACGTCCAACGGCAAGGTGCATGACTTCCTCAGAGAGAGAGAGGAAATTAACATAGGGATAAGAGCCCAGTCATGACGAAACCACACCGTGTAGGCGGGGTTGGACTTGGGTAGGGTGCCGTCGACGGCGGGCAGGAAGGGAGCCGGACACGGGTGGCTTCCATCGACGAACAGCATGAGACCATGTCCGTCTAGAAACGATAGGACTTGAGTTCTCCAAAACAGATAATTCTTATGGGTAAACTTAATACTGATATAGTGATGAACAGTAGAAAGCGAATTTGACAGCCATGCTAGCAGAAGATATGATACCAACATCAGACATGATCCGTTCGGAGGAATTGACAAATCCTTCAACCATGGGTATAAAGACAAAAACCATATCTTAACTGAACAATGGAAAACACTATCTCCTCCTCTTCTCTTCCCCCTCACATGGAGCCATGGAACAGAACATAACAGAACGGATGAAAATTCACAAATTAAAAGTAAATAAAAAACTATATTTTTTAATTCACAAAAAAAAAAACTAGATTCGCACAATATTTTCTTGCCCACCGCTTCTCGCCTCTCTGATTCTTGCCTTCTGCCATCTCTAATCACCAGATCTTCATCCTCTGTTTCTCGTCGTTTTGTTCGCGTTGATCTTCATCATCTGCTTCTCGTTGTTGCCTCTTTCTTCTTCGCCATCGCCAATCTCCTTCATCTTCGCTTCGCAATTGTCGTTTCTTCTCTGCTTCACATCGTTTGCAGAGGAAATTGGGTAGGGATTGGGAATGGGTTGTGGGTTTGGATATTTAATAATAATAATAATAATAATAATAATAATAATAATAATAATAATAATAATAATAATCTTATCTTAACTATAATAAAGTTGTATGGTCCGGGAAAAAATAAAGGCCAAATATTACGACACCGTTTTGGTTGGTTTTAACATAATGGAGCTGTGAACGATTGGCTTACATCGATTGGCGCATAAGGTAACTGCTTTTACGAATTGTAGCGATCTGATAATTATTACACTATTAATTATAAGCTTACAACCTTTCGACTGGGACATTTATGAATTCCCATTCCCAAACCCTAGAATGAACAGTCAACACAAGATCTATAAAAACCGATGGAAAGAAGAAGAAATTACATCCAATGCAAATTCAAAGATTACGCAGCATCAGAACTACAAGTATCATATCATGGCTCCTCTGTTTGTCACGGCCAGCTACCTTGCACCTAAGAGAACTTCCAATGCCATCAAGCTAAGGTTTGTTCGAACATATGAAATCCCTGACCGAAAGGGAAGGGAAAGTAGTATCAAATGCAAAGAAGTCGTTTTTCACGACAAGGATGTATTGTTTTCTATAATGTTATAATATTATTATCAAGTTTCAAGGCATATGTAATGGTCTCTAATGTTTATAATGATTTGCAAGGAAGTTATTTGCATGGACATATACCTAAAGAATACATTAGCAAGTTTCAAAATACTTTCAGGGAGGGCAGAGTGTATTGCATAAGGAACTTCTTGGTCATAACTAGCTTCTACACCTACAAGACGTGCGTGAACGATCTTATGATCAAATTCATGTATTACACAGAAGTAAAGGAGTATAAGCAAATAACATTCCCTAGAGTTATGTACCAACCTATTTCATTTTTTAAATTCAAATCTGATCAAGGTTTTGACGACAAAGAACTTATTGGTAAGTTTTATTTCTCCGTTTATTTTTTAATATTTTGCCTATTTAACAATTTCTAAATATCTTCCTATTCTTGGTTTATTAGACATAATAGGTCGCTTGGTTGAGATCAATTCTCCTATGGATAAATTGGTTGGTGGAAAACCTTCCAGATTGATAGACTTCGTGCTTGAAGACGATAAGTGAGCAAATATATACATTATATGTATAACATACTATTTATTTGCGTATTAACACATAGAAACACTGTGTATCTATGGGTGAACAAATGCAATATACAATTTGGTACAACCATGTCTCAAAGATGGAGCCATGGTTTAATCGGAACTACAATGGTCATGTTATTGTTATCATGCAGTTTTGCCGAGCCAAGCGGGACCTGAACAGTCAGTATTATTCTTATGTATTATTACGTATCATCATCAAGAAACGTAATATTAACTATAGTTTGTTATGCAGGTGGGGAGATTAAGCTCTCAAGTTCATATGATGCAACTAATATATTGGTCAACGAAGATATACCCGAGATCATTGAGTTTAAGGAGAGGTAGATTTGAAAACTTTTTTTTTTTAGTTTTTATACTGATGTACAGTCTTTTCTTCTAGACTCGGTGATGTGCACACTCCATTGAGGAGTGTAAACACTATTCAAGTCTGTCATAAGCAAATACATTTGATGAATTTACGAGTGGGTCAATGGTTATTTATACTATTCCTGAGGTTTATTCGTTGCATCAGGTAATATTTTGAATAATTAAATATTCAAAAAATTTAAGAGTGGGTCAATGGTTATTAACTAAAATCTTACACTATTTTTCTTAGGTTAGTGCAGTGACTTCTGGTTTGTGGCCCGAATTGTTGAGTTCGAAAGTAATAGAGATTGGTGTTATAGATCCTGCAAAACCCGTGGTTGTAATAAGAAACTGGCACTCAATGAGAAAGGCATTTTAGAATGCTATAAGTGTAAAAAAAATAGGGGGGGATGGAGTGTTGCGCTATAGATTGAAGGTTAGAGTAAACGATAGGACATGAAATGTGTCGTTCATTATATGGGATAGGGAATGTACTGAACTCATCGGAATAACAACAGCCAAACTGTTTGAAAAATATCCTCAGGTATTAATAATTAACCTCTAATGATTATTCTTTAATTGCAAGGCACGCAGCCTCATAATTTTTTTCATTTTAACAAATTGTTTTGTTATTTTAGGGTATGCCCACTTTGCCCGATGAAATCCTGGCCATTCGTGGTGTCGTTACGGTTTTCAAAATAGCGGCACGCAAAGAGCAATTCGACAATCTTCATAACGCTTTCGCAGTTATGAAGATTATAACGCTTTCACAGTTATGAAGATTATAACGCTTTCGCAGTTATGAAGATTATAAACGATCATGCGTTGATTGATGCATACTCCCTTGATCTACTCGAGAATGGTAACCATGATAAGGAAGAACTCATAGCAGAGAGGGACGATGATGTAAATAAAATAGACATTTTTAATTTTAAAATAAAAGTGCTTATAATATTTGATAGGAATATTTTTTGTAAGTTTTGATGAGCCAAATGTACTTTAGATCCCCTTGGTTTTTAGGTCCTTTAGTACAAGCATCATAAATCAGAATATCGAGTTAAAAGGTATCTACCATAGGAAGAACAAAATTAATTTGGGAAATTAATTTTGGTCCTACGAGTATTCATCCGAGAAATAAGCATAAAGAAATGGCGTTGCAAGAAATAACCGGATGAGCCTAACGGCGAAATAGTAGAAATCCTTACTCAAAACGATCACACCCGAGATTGACTCCCCCCAAGGACTTATCTTTTACAAGTCAAGTTTTCGAACAAGCACAATGTTCCTAAAGGAGCACCCAAGGAGCACAATGTCTGAAAAGGAGCATATTGTTTCTAAAAGAGCACAATGTGAACAAGCACGATGTGTTCAAAGGGTCACAATCTGACCAAATCAGAAAGAACACAATGTTCAAGTCAAACAAGCAAGAAGTGCCCAAGTCAAAGGAGCACAATGTGGCAAAGAAGCAAGATGTTCAGAAAATGAATAAATTCGAAGGAATTTATTTTGGATCAGCTTACATGCCACAAGAGTCCAAAATTGCCTGAAGATTTTTGATCAGAACGGAAAATTATTTATGAAGACATGAATATAAAAACTTATCCTAGAAATAAATTCTATCAGATGAATTTATTTCAAAGATTCGTTGGATATTCAAATTGACAACAAAAATAATATTTTAAGAAACAACTTGAAAATCAAGTTGAGATAAAATATTATTTTGTCAGGCAAGTTGACAATCAAATCAAAATTGAAGATCTACTATTGTCAACAATATCAGGCTATGAAGATTCAAATTTCAAACATCAAATTATCCCACTCCAACGGATATATTTGATTGCCTATAAAAAGCCATGAAGACAAGCAGAGATAGAGGTGCAATACACACGGATAAACAAAGTGCAAAATTCAAAAGTGCAAGTACTCAAATATTCTTAGAGACTTTGTCTGAATAGTCTCAAATTTAGTTAGAGAGAGATACAATTACCTTTGTATTTGTAATTGTAAAAAGAGTATAGCTGTGTGCAAAATACTCTAATGAGTGTAGTTGTGTGCAAAACACTCGTAGTTGCTAAGTGTAGCTGTGTGCAAGACACTTAGTTGGCGTTGAGTATAACTGTGTGCGAAATACTCGGAGTTGAGTGTAGCTGTGTGCGAGACACTCGGAGTTGGGTGTAGCTGTGTGCAAGACATCCGGAAGAAGTGCTTGTGTAGCGCTTATTCACTATTGTAACTGTGTGTGGAAAATAGTGAATTACTCCTAGAAGTGAATGGAGTAAAGTGGACTAGGAAGATTACGCCACTTCCGAACCACTATAAATTGCCTCTCTCATTTACATACCGCACTTACATAATTTGCTCTATTTATCTATCTTATCCGACTAACCCGTTTACTATTCACAGTTAATCTTAATCATCCGGGTTTAGTGTGTTTTCACGTATGCATGTGACTCAAACTTCTCGAGCTTAAATATTGGAATATTCTAAGCAAGTTTGACGTGTTGCATGTAACGTTCGTCACACGGTCGACGTGACACGATATTTATATACAATCTTGAATATTATTGTTATATATTGAGTGAACCATCTCCTTTATATATTCAAGATACCTCTGTCACTTTACATATCATCTGTACCCTTCTTACATGCGCATTTAAATTATCGGTTGGGCGTAACTCTTTACATACTATTATTCCGCTGTGCAGTTCAAACTTACTCTATTTTACTTGTTACTTAGAGTTGAAGTTACCAAAGAGTTATTTATTTTGAAAAAGCTTGAAAGTCTATTCACCCCCCCCCCCCCCCCCTCTAGACTTTCACCACCCTATCGGGACCAACAATATTTATACTAACGTATACGTTTTGATAATAAGAGTTTGTTTTTGAAAGCGAAGTGGAGAGCTCAATCTGTCACCAAGGATCTCCCAAGGAGTTCACCGACACAGGTAGCGGATCATTGAAGAGAAGTTTGTTGGATGAATTGTCATCCACACAAAGCTCTAAAAAGACAAGAGATATAACTGTCAAGAAAGAAAAGCTGGCTTGATGTGTCGTTTTACGTTTCTAAACATTTTGAACGCTTTGTGTCCTGATGTTTTGGGTATATGTAGGTTGAATCCAATAATGGCACACTATGTCTTTATGCCAAATTGAATTTCTATCTCTGACTTTTACGCTAGAAATGACATGGTTTCTAAGGTTTTGAGGTTGGTTGTTTGGCATCTAATTAACTTTATGATCTATTATAACCATAACATATTTCTATGCGGGTTAGGTTGACTGAACAGGTCTCATGTTGACTGACCAAGACCTATTGCTGGAAGAATCTTCAACAACCAAACCTAGATAGACTTTGAGTTTTTTGGTTTATTAGGGGGTATAAGGAATGCACCAGAGTTTCTAGCTATGTGATGTACTAAGCTAAGATTATGATCAATAAAAGCATCTATGTTTCTATAATTTGTAAGCCAAGACCACTTGCCTTAAATGTAGTGATTCATATATTAATTATGCTGGATCGAATTACCTATGGATCCATAGCAATCTTCTTGGCTGATCCATCATAAGATCTTTAACACAACATGGTTGTCCATTCTCTTAACCTGTACGTAGTTAAGATTAAAAAAAAAAAATAGTCAATCTTACATATTAACAACCAAAGTATTAAATTAGAGTAAAAGACATTTTTAGTCCTAAATTTATAGTGGCTTGGACAATTTTAGTCCTTTATAAAAAAAATTTGCCATTTTATAGACAGAGTTATTGTGGCGAGGACATTTTTTGTCCTCCGTCTATATTTTTGTTAGATAACCGTCTAAGAGAGGGGTAATTACGTCAATTTAGGCTATCTCCTTCTATCTATTATATCTATGTGTATTTTTTATTCTTCTCGGTCATAATTCGAAGGAGTAGGAGAGTCCAAGTTGCAGTTGTACGAAGAAATTGCCGGAGAATCGAAGCCGTCAAACACACATAGATATAATAGATAGAAGGAGATAGCCTAAATTGACGTAATTGTCCCTCTCTCATACGGTTATCTAACAGAAATATAGACGGAGGACCAAAAATGTCCTCGCCACAATAACTCTGTCCATAAAATGGCAATTTTTTTTATAAAGGACTAAAATTGTCCAAGCCACTATAAGTCTAGGACCAAAAATGTCTTTTACTCATTAAATTATGTACGACTAAAAGTAGGACTAAAAGTGGTACTATTATAATATGTGAGATCTAAATATAAAAAATTGTTTTGTCAGGGACTAAAAATGAAAATGTCACTAAAATAGGGGAACCAAAATGATAATCAATTATAAAGATTCGTTAATAAGCTCAAATGGTACAAAAAATTCTTTTGTGCCCTTGGAAGGATGCTATATGGGAACGTTTGGATCAGTTTACAGTCCTTATTCCCATCTTTTAAGCTTGATATGACAATCTCTAACTGTAAGGTTTTGAGGTTGGCTGTTTGACATCTAATTAACTTTATGATCTATTATAAACATAACATATTTCTATGCAGGTTAGGTTGATTGAACATGTCTCATGTTCACTGACCAAGACCTATTGCTGGAAGAATCTTCAACAACCAAACCTAGATAGACTTTGAGTTTTTTGGTTTACTATGGGGTATCAAGGAATGTACCTGAGTTTCTAGCTATGTGATGTACTAAGCTAAGATTATGATTAATAAAATCATCTATGTTTCTATAATTTGTAAGCCAAGACTACTTGCCTTAAATGTAGTGATTCATATATATGCAACAACAGTTACATTCAGAAATGGTATGAAAACAAAGAAACAAAGTGAAAGCATGAGAAATACAAATCATCAGGCTTTTGCATTTTTATCACAAGCATAAAGCAAATGCAGATTGAAGAAGCACAAGAATTTAGTTTGCAGCTAATCCTTTAAGAATTAATTTCTAACAGGTAAAAAGACACTTCAAAACTGGAGATACTATACAAACAGAGCCTCTTCTCCCCTCCCTGCTGACAAATTTCTCATCCATTTGCATATCATAAGTTCACTCAGGAAGAAGAAAACACTTTGGTATAGTGCTAATCAACAACTCATATTCTTCCCTTCAGTAATTCCTCTAGCAATAATATCGTCTATTTAAGACACGGCCAAGAGTGGCCAATGCATCATTAAATTTACGAATTTTAAGCAAACCCCTGATCATGCCCTCCTCATCGTTTGAGAACTCTGCTTCCTTCATGATCATGACAATGAACTTAACTATAGCCTCCTCTCTGGCTAAAGAGAAAAGCCTTACCGCCAAAATTGAGAATAAAGAGAACTCAGGTACATGTCCTTTCTTCATCATCTACATTTTCACAAATTGAGTGCATAGAAAAATTTTGAACCACTTAATAACATCTTTTAGAGTTCCAAGAATACAATAATACACAAAACTATTTATTGCATATAAATATTATAAAACTGTTCTGATTCCATATCAGAACTGTATATATAAACCCTATTAGTTGATGAAAAATACTTTACATTATGCTACTTTCACATTGAGGTGCAGTAATATGAAAAAAAAAATCACATCTTCAACCGTGATTGGGAAGAAGAGGAAACAACAACAAAAGAATAAAGGTTGGTTCATCTTTATTTGCTATTAAAAATTAAGTATTTGACTACCTTACTGTAAGTATCACATATTGTAATCTTAGTGCTATAAAAACTAAATAAAAGTTTAGGCATTTGACTACCTTACCTGTAAGTATCCCAGGATTTCCAGAAATAGTGCTCATTACAACTAGATTTTATAGTACAGCTCGCACCAAAACAGATCAAAAAAAATTGTTATTATATTAAACAATTTAAAATATTTTTATTTTTTCTAGATACATAGAGAAATTACAGAACACAAATTGTTAAAAACTAAATACACACAGTAAAATGAAAACATCCAAGAAAAAGATTAAGCCTAGATCTGCAAAATAGGAAGGAGATTAAGATGACTTTCTCACTGATACCATATGATAGCCTATGATATTCTTTTCTAGAAATCAACATGCGGACCTTTGATTTTAGAGCAGAATTGTTAAAAACTAACTACATACAGTAAAATGAACACATCCAAGAAAAAGATTAAGACTAGATCTGCAAACTAGGAAGGAGATTAAGATGGATTTCTCACCGATTTAGCCAGAGGGTACAGTGAGAAGGGAGAACACTGTAGAGGATTCATCAACCTTGCCGAGTAGATTCGAGGATGGAGATTATTCTACATTTCGCACCGACCCAACAAGAGTGTACAGCGTCCAAGTAGCTCACTAAAAGATGGGTTTATGCTCTAAAATGGAAAGCTTAAATGAACTTTCGAGAGTGAAAAATGAAGAGAGGTGAGAGGATCTGAAATACTTGTGTTACAGAGAGGAAGGAAGAAATGGTGATGGATTAGGGCTTCAACTACTCATATCTGTAGTGAACTTTCTAGGTTGAATTTAGAGAGAGTGTGTACTTGATATTTCCGAGTAGAGTACACGAGAGTGCAGCTCAAACTTTCCAAGTAGAGTTGAACTTAGAGAGAGTTAAGAGAATATGGAAATTGAAGAGAGAGAGTGGGAATTCACTTTGATGGGAGGAATGAAGAAATGGTGATGGATTAGGAAATTGCGTTTGAAGTTTGAACAAGTTATTGTATCTTATGGCCACCATAGTGAAATTTGTTACTTCGTATTCTTTTTCCTTGGATATTATGGTTGCTACACATGTTTTCATATTTTTTTATATATGGTGGTTCAATGTTTGGGCAAATTATGTTTTCAAAAAAAATGTTTGGGCAAATTATTGTGTGGATCATGGTCCACATAGTGTTGTATGGACCATATACGAAAATACATTTTTAATATGAGTTTTTTCCCAAAATGGTCCTTCGACTATCGCTTATTCTCAATTTTGCATTTTGACTTTTAATTGCACCCAATGTGGTCCCTTGACTTTTATAAACTCCCCCAAATTGGTCCTCCGTTAGAAATTCCATCTATTGAGTGTTAAAATGAAGGGCATTTTTGTCCATTCACCTATTATATGCCTAATATACTCTAAAAAATAGTCGAGGGACCATTTTGAGAATAGTCGAGGGATCATTTTGAGAAAAACTCATTTATTTATTTCCATTTTTTAACACTATCAAATTAGAATTTCTATACATTTTTTTCTTACAAATATAAATAGTTAAAATCCACAATCAAATCTCAAAATTTTAAACGTTCTCTACAATTTTTTTCCTTTTGTCTAAACGTACAAATTTTTCCCCTATCGCTATCAAGTTTTACAATAAATTTCGTAACATTCATAAATACTCTCTCACACACACACACACACACACACACACACACACACACACACACACACACACACACACACACACACACACACACACATATATATATATATATATATATATATATATATATATATATATATATATATATATATATATATATATATATATCTAAAAACATAATAAGTGTCAATACAAGTTATGTCCTTGATTTTTGTCCATTTTTTATATGCTAATAAATGTGTACATTGTGCTTTAATTGTTGTACATTCATTTGCATTGGACAAAATCACCCTTACACCGTTATAACACCGTTAGTTTTTAATATATCTACCAATCTTACCATACACCTACATCTATCATATCTTTTTTCTATTTTTAATTGTCATTTTATTAAAATTATCATATAACAATTAATTTAATTATAAATTATATTTTAATTAAATATTTATATGAATGTTAAATTATATATGTGTACCATATATATATATATATATATATATATATATATATATATATATATATATATATATATATATATATATATATATATATATATATGTATATTATTTGTGTATTCATATCAATATATCATATATGTGAGTGTTAGCTTAGTATTATTTGTAAAGTATAATTTTTTTTTTTGTTTTAATCACTATATTATTCAAATATATGATAATTCAAAAGTATCATCAGTTTAAGAAATTGCAAAACATAATTTTAACTAATTTTTTAAATTTTGTTACTTACAAATATTTTAATATTGGGCATAAGTTTTCGCGTATCGTGCGTACAAAATGCTAGTGTATATATATATATATATATATATATATATATATATATATATATATATATATATATATAAAATCATATTAAAACTTCAAAAGACAATCAATCACTATATATTACATTAAATATTATTTTTATAGTTAAAATGAAATTATTATTTTTTTTACGTACTATGGTAAACAAGTTTAAATTTCAAATTTAAGTTTATTAACATTCATATATAAAATACAAACAAACTTCAAAATGACAAGAACTTGTAATATTGGTAAATGATGAGACTTTAGGTTTAGAATTGTTTGTTTTGTGCTAATTATTTTTGCATTTGGTTTATTTTACTTGTCCTTTAAGACATAAAATTGATAGCCATAGTTCTAGACTCTCTTTAGCATGATATACTTCTGGGTAGATAGGCATTTGGAAATGGTAGGTATGGTTTGTACTAACTTTGGAATGAATCTAATGGCCTTACAGGCTAAGTTAAGCCAACTTTCCAAAAATATTTTCTAAGATTTTGTCATTGACCGAGAAGTGACGCGTACTTCTGACCGAGAAGTGACGCGTACTTCTCAGTTCGAAGAAGTGCCAGAGCATAGCGATTGATTGTAAAAATAATAATTTTATTTTCAAAAGGCATAATGACCGAGAAGTGAAGAGTACATTTTGGGTGTCTAAACTGATAAAAATAGTAATGTTATTTTCAATGGTAAAAATAATATTTAATATGATACATAGTGATTGATTGTCTATTGAAGTTTTAGTGTGTGTGTGTGTGTGTGAACATAAAAAAGTATATGAGTATTATATTTTTGAAATTTACAGAACTTATTGTAAAACTTGATAGAATTAGAGGAAAAGTTTGTATGTTTAGACAGAAGGAACAAATTTGTATAGAAAATTTAAAATTTTGAGGTTTGATTGTGAATTTTAACTATTTATATTTGTAAAAAAAAATTGTATAGAAACTCTAATTTGATAGTCTTACAAAAATGGAAATAAACAAAAATGAAATAAATAAATGAGTTTTTCTCAAAATGATCCCTCGACTATTCCCAAAATGGTCCCTTGACTATTTTTCAGAGTATATTAGACATATAATAGGTAAATGGATGAAAATGCCCTTCATTTTAACACTCAATAGACGGAATTTCTAACGGAGGACCAATTTGAGGGAGTTTTTAAAAGTCAAGGGACCACATTGGGTGCAATTAAAAGTCGAAATGCAAAATTGAGAATGAGCAATAGTCGAGGGACCATTTTGGGAAAAAACTCTTTTTAATATACTAAACTTTTAATATTCGAATAATGCACTTTTCCTAAATACAATGTACATTTTTAATATACTAAAATTACATTATTTGTGAACTAAATGTACATTATTTTATAATATACAGAATATGGTCCACGTTTTTAATATATTAAAAGTAAACAAACGACATGTAAGTTATACTGTTTTATCAAATCTTACATATTACAATTATTAGTTATTTGACATAGTGATGATAAATTATTGTTATCATGAAAAGCAGGTAACGTGAACAATAGTTCCATTTTATGTGGTTCATCATCGGATGCTAATGCTTGAAATTTAATTCAGATGGATACACCTACCCGAAACTTGAGTGCTGATTTTTGAAGATGTAGTATAAACAACTACAGTTCATGGTAATATGATAATATATTTAGTAGTTTTATATTTTATTTAAATATTTGTAAGCTCATTGGTATACACGATGTAACGGGAAAATGTTATTTGTACAGAGGACTATGCAGATCTTGGGGATCCAACAAATATATATGAGCATTGTAGTGCGCCATTTTGGTTTGAGGAACGTATAAATAAAGTCAAGGTCAATGGTTCTCCAAGATATTCAGGGTGTTGTGTTCATGGGAAGATTAGCTTACCACCAACTACTACACCACTTAAAAAGTTGTTTGATTTGTTCTTTACCATTGGTGAAAAGCATAAATGTTTTTTAGAAAATATTAGATCTTACAAAAACATGTTTTGTTTCACATCAATGGGAGGTAAGATTGACAATTCCATAAACAATGGTAATGCAGCACCCATTTTCAGAATGTATGGTCAAAATTTTCATCTAATAGGCAGTTTATTACCGCCCGATGGTAGCAAGCCGAAATTTGCACAATTATATATACATGGCACCCAGAATGAGATTATCAACCGCATAGGATCGGTGAGGTAGGTTTACTATTGCAACTCAATATTTTAAAATATTATGTAAAATATTTATGTACGCTAACCTAATCTTATTTGTAGGCAAGAAGACGAGAAATCTAACATACACGTCGATGTGGTTGCTGACATTAAGGAGGTTCTAGATGTAAACAATGTTTTGGCCAAATCATTCCGCAATGCTAGGGCAGAGATTGAAGCAAATCCACGTGTAGAGATTAAAATGAGGCTAATTGGGAACAGAACTACTGACGCTAGAACGTATAACTTACCGACAGCGTCAGAAGTCGCAGCCTTAATCGTTGGTGACCTAGATCCATCAATAGGCAATCGGGACATTCTGGTTGAGTCAAAGAGTGGTTTACTAAAACGTATAAGTGAGTTGAATCCATGTTACTTACCAATGCAATATCCTCTCTTATTCCCTTATGGTGAGGACGGGTATAGAGAGGACATTCAGTTTGCTGGGACATCTAATCGTCCTCAGGGTGGCAGGCACCGTGTATCTCCTAGAGAATACTTCGCATTTCGAATCCATGAACGGACAACGGAAGTATCAACTATACTTTACTCCAGGAGATTGTTTCAACAGTTCTTAGTAGATGCGTACACAATAGTTGAATCTGGGGGGCTAATTTACATTAGGACCAACCAGAAAGCACTAAGGTGTGAGGCTTACAAAGGACTCTCAGATGCAGTGACAAGGGGAGAGGTTTATCCTAGCACTTTAGGGAAACGTATAATTTTACCATCTAGCTTTACAGGTGGGGCTAGGTACATGATACAAAATTATCAAGATGCGATGGTCATTTGTAGGTGGATAGGTTATCCGAATCTTTTCATTACATTTACGTGTAATCCAAAGTGGCCGGAAATTCAACGGTATGTTGTCAAGCGAAACTTAAGGGCAGAAGATAGACCTGATATTGTGTGCCGAATATTTAAAATGAAATTGGATTTCCTAATAAAAGAGTTCAAATCCGGAGGAATATTTGGTGTATTTAGAGCAGGTAAAGATATGTTATTGATTAATACTTTTATTCAGAAAAAATATATTAATTAATTAATATAATTCATTATCACTAATTGGATTTTTCATTTTGTCCAGTCATATACACTATTGAATTTCAAAAACGGGGACTTCCTCATGCACACATCTTGCTCTTTTTAGCGAGAAAGGAGGTGAACAGTGCAACTAGCTTCATGGACACTATCATATCAGCTGAAATCCCAGACAAGGAACGTGACAGAGAATATTACAATGTTGTTGCAGAATTCATGATTCATGGACCATGTGGGGCTGCACGGAAAAAATCACCTTGCATGGTCAATGGGCGTTGTTCTAAGCATTTCCCAAAAAGATTTGTTGAATGTTCAAGTTTAGATGAAGATGGCTACCCAATTTATAGGCGACATGATGATGGTATGACCGTAACAAAGAACGGTATGCAATTGGACAATAGATATGTCGTGCCACACAACAGAGCTTTGCTTTTAAAGTACCGAGCACACATGAATGTTGAGTGGTGTAACCAATCCAGGTCCATAAAATACCTTTTCAAGTATGTTAACAAAGGGAATGATCGTGTAACAGCTGAATTATATAGAAATACTGTGGATACGGATGGGAACGAAATAGTAGATGAGATAAATATGTACTACAACTATCGCTATGTTTCTGCATTTGAAGCGACATGGCTCCTACTCAGCTTTGACGTTCAGTATAGGACACCATCGGTTGAAAGGTTAAGCTTCCATCTGCCGGATTGCCAATGCGTAGTGTTCAATGACGACGATAGCGTTACAGAAGTTCTGAACAGGCACACTGTTGGGCAAAGTATGTTTTTATGATGGTTTGAAGCGAATAAAAAATATGGGGATGCCAAGGTGTTGACTTACATTGAGATGCCAAATAAGTTTGATTGGAAGAATGATATTCGAGAGAGGCATCCTAGGAAAAGGGGTTTTTCAATCGATTGTATTTTTTATGTTCCTCCTGGGTGTGGTGAAATATATTATCTTAGATGCCTTTTGAATACATGGCCCTACATGTTTTAAAGACATTTGCACATTTAATGGGATTGAGTACATCACATTTAGAGATGCATGTTATGCACGCGGTTTGTTAGATGATGATAAAGAATACATTGATGTGATTGAAGAAGCAAGTCATTGGTCATCAGCTCATTCGATGCGGAAACTTTTTGTGACATTGTTGATCACCAATTCGTTAAATAGACCGGAAAATGTTTGGAATGAAGTATGGCACCATCTAGCGGAAGATGCACGATTCAACCAACGTAGGTTGCTTCAAAAACCAGGTATGTTATTTGATACATCTTATGTTTCTTAAGTATTTTCTTTGATATAGTTAAGAGCCTTACATTCAATATATACATGTCGTAGATCTTATCTTAAGTGATGATGAGAAGAAGAACATTGCTCTAATTGAGTTGGAAAAGTTGCTACAGATGCACAATAAATCATTGAAAGAGTTTTCACCTATGCCTTTTTTCCAGATTTAGAGCAATCAACGTTAAATGGGAACCGTTTATTGCTTGAGGAGTTATCGTATGATCGTGCAGCCCTTTCTGAAGAGAGTGCTCAATTGACAAACAGATTAACTGATGAACAAAAGAGTTTATACGACACCATTGTTGAAGATGCGTTGAAAATAGTGAGGGGCTTTATTTCGTATACGGATATGGTGGAACAGGTAAAACTTTCCTTTGGCGAGCATTATATGCGACATTGCGATCTAAAGGTGAAATAGTTCTTAATGTTGCTTCGAGTGGTATAGCATCATTACTCCAACCGGGTGGAAGGACTGCACACTCTAGGTTTGCAATACCTATCAATATTACTGAGGATTCAACATGCAACATTACACCCGGTAGTGACTTGGCTGAATTGATTCTTAAAACGAGATTTATAAGTTGGGATGAGGCACCAATGATGCACAAGCATTGCTTTGAAGCGTTAGATAGAACGATGAGAGATTTGTTACGGTTTGTTAACCCGAGGAGTGCACATCAAACTTTCGGCGGGAAAACAGTGGTGTTAAGTGGTGATTTCCGCCAAATATTGCCCGTAGTACCAAAAGGCACAAGGCAAGACATAGTTGCTGCCACCATAAATACATCGTACCTGTGGGATAATTGCAAGGTTTTAAGGTTAACTAAGAATCTTCGCTTGAAAAGTATGAGCGCCAGCACTGAATTGCAACGGCTAGAGAACTTTGCGAAATGGATCGCAGGAATTGGTGACGAGACTATTGGATGTCTAAATGATGGGTCAGTAGAAGATGATATCCCACCAGACATGTTGTTACCGAGTTCCGAAATCCCATTGCAACTGTAGTGGATAACACATTCCCGATGTTTTCGACTAACAACAGTGACAATAGCTTTATAGAAAACCGCGCTATTCTAGCACCAACTCTAGATGTGGTCAATGCTATTAACCAATATATGAGTGATATGCATGTTGCTCAGAGCAAGGATTATTCGAGTTGTGACATGGTCTGTAGTTCTGAATCGAACGATGGCATTCTGGCGTACGTCCACACACCTGAATTTCATAATGGCATATGAGCTTCTGGCATACCTAATCACTCCCTTACCTTGAAGGTTGGCTCACCTGTGATGTTGTTGAGAAACATAAATCACTCTCTAGGGTTGTGTAATGGTACTAGATTGATAGTCACCAAGTTGGTAGAACACGTTATAGAAGAAAAAATATCAACTAGAGATCATGTAGATACTGGGGTGTTGATTCCTCGAATGACTATGACACCCTCAGATCCAAGATTGCATCAAGTTTAAAAGAAGACAATTTCCATTAATGCTCTCATATGCAATGACCATCAATAAAAGTCAGGGACAAACATTATCTCATGTTGGTTTGTTGCTCAAGAAGCCTGTATTCGTGCATGGACAATTATATGTAGCGGCATCTAGAGTAAGTAATCCTAAAGGTCTCAAATTTTTTATTTGTGGTGATTTAGATAATACATGTAGTTCAACCACTAATGTAGTTTATAAGGAGTATTTAACAACCTGTAATTTATATTTCATTTCCATTTTATTTCTTTAACAGTTATTACTTTTTACTTTGCTTACATTTCAAAATGAAATTATTTACAAGAAGATACGCTCAAATGACAATTTCTTAATTTATAATATATAAAACGTAAATTAAATATTCTACAAATTATTTACTGTGCATCGCACGGGTAAGTTACTAGTAATAATAATAATCAGTGTTGCAAAAATCGGGCCTAGGCGCCGATTAATCGGCGCCTAGGCGCTAGGCGGTCGGCCACCTAGGCGCCGATTAATCGTTCTAGGCGCCCTAGGCGGTCCCCAGACGCCTAGCGATTTTTTCAGCATTGATAATAATAAAACGAGTTGTGGATGTAGGACTGTGGGTATTGGGTAGACATATAATAATAATAATAATAATAATAATAATAATAATAATAATAATAATAATAATAATAATTACAACAAAAATCATTTTGAATTTTAAATTATTAAAATTAAAAATAATTTAATAATAATTTTTAAATATAATTTAATTATAGTTAACTAAACTAAAATAATTAACTTATGCTCTAGAAAAAGTATAGATGTTGATTTTAATTTTATAATCATTCATCAATAAGGGCATCCTCAATAGTTGAGGATTTTACCCCAAATTTTTGTGGGCCCAAACATCCACCTCATCATCCACTATCTCACTCAATCACAAAATCTCTTCTTCCCATTAGTTTTAAAATTTTCACAACTTTTTATGGACCCACCATTTTATCTCCCTATTTAATTATTTCTTTATTTATTATTGTTGATAAGTTTGTCAAATTCTAGTCAAAAAGGGATCACCAGGTCATACAAGGATTAGGAATTAGATTCCCAACCTAAATAGGAATAGCAACCCTATTCCTATCTAAACAATATCTCTCGGCCTATAAAAGAAGCTACATCACAACCTCTCAATTCACACTTTCAACACCTATTTGTGAGCACGAGAGTCATTGAGAAGAGATACCCAAATTCTCCTGAAAAGTAGTACAAGTGTTTAGGTTACAATAGATTTGATAGGATATCATATTGTGTAATCCCCGTTCCCTAAACCAAGTGTACTTTGAATATCAAGCTTTTAGTGGATTTAGGCAAATTCTCAATTCGAGAAGTGCCTCGCAGTTTAGGGTTGTTTGCCCAAACTGTGTTATAAATTTATTGTGTCACAACATCAGTTTCAACATACACGTTTCAAACATCTATATTAATTTCAATTGGTATCAGATCGGGTCTGCTTAAGTCATTAGCAGGATCCAAATGGAGTTCCCCAGAGAAGGTCTATCTAACAATAAACCACCGGCCCTACTTGGCACAAACTTTTCCTACTGGAAAGCCCGAATGCAAATATACATTCTAGCACAAGGAGAAGGTGTCTGGAATGCTATAGAAAACGAATGGAAAACTCCAGTCGATGACAAAGGAAATGAAAAACCTAGAACCGATTGGAGTGAAGAAGAGAAAACTGAATATGACTTTAACTCAAAAGCCATGAATGCAATATATGGAGCGGTAAGCGAAGACACTTTTAAGCTAATCGCATCAACCCGCATAGCCAAAATTGCATGGGGTATATTGTGTGATCATCATGAAGGAAACACAACCGTTCGACAATCTAAGCTTCAAATGATACAAACTGAGTTTGAAAACCTGAAAATGGAAGAGGAAGAAAACATCACCCAATTCAGTGCCAGAGTTTTAAGCATATCCGGAGATGCATTCAACCTAGGCGAACCTATACCCGAACATAGGATCGTCAAAAAGGTATTACGCTCACTACCTGGGAGATTCCAAATGAAAGTCACCGCTATCCAAGAAAACAAAGATCTGAACACATACAAACTCAGTGATCTAATAGGAAATCTCCAAACTTATGAACTTGAGATACTGCAAAACCAGAAGAACAATGGTAAAGGAATAGCACTACAATCCAAACAGGAAGAGAACTCGGAAACTGATTCAGAAACCTTGGAACAGTCCATTGCCCTATTGACAAAGAATTTCAACCGAGTTCTCAAAAAGTTCAATAGATCCAGGAATAAAAATTTTCAAAACAGCCAAGGAAATTCTACAAATCAAAAACCATCCAATCCAAAAAGAAGAGACAATACATTCACAGAAGGAATACAGTGCTATGAGTGCAAAGGCTTTGGACACATTCAATCTGAATGTCCACATATTTGAAAAGAAAAAATAAGACATATATAACAACTTTGAGCGATGACTCAGATAGCGAAGAAGATGACAGCAACACAAATTTTGTGGCCTTTACTGCTAGTCATGAAGATAACAACAGTGATGACATGCAAGAATTACTTGAAGCATACACACAATTAAATGCCAAGTGGGAACAAATCATCAAGAAAAACTTAGAGCTCATGGAGGATAACCATTATTTGAAGAATGAAAAGGAACGAATAGAAAAGCAATACGAGGAAACCCATCACGAACTGTTAAATGCAAAAACCAGAGAAGCCAAGTTACTACAGGAAATTAAGGAACTTACCGAAAGGCCCAGGACTCCAAACACGATCACCAGTGAGAATGACCAACCTGAAATACAGGAAGTGTCGAAACAACACTTCCGACATCGAAGAAGAATAAGGTGCTATTATTGTCACAAACTAGGACACATCAAAGCACATTACTACAAGAGACAAAATGATTACTACTACAGACAAAACAACAGAGCATGTCCACCACACAACATAAATAATGGTAAGAAAGTTTGGGTAAGAAAAGACCAATATGTTGCATACACCTCCAAGACAAACAAAGAGCATGATATATGGTATTTTGATAGTGGATGTTCCAGGCATATGACAGGAAATCCAGAAAACTTAGAGGACATCCATTTTAAGGATGAAGGGTATGTTACCTTTGTAGATGGAGGAAAAGGTAAAATTGTTGCAAATGGAACTTTGAGTGTACATGGTTTACCAAAACTATCAAAAGTATTCCTAGTACAAGGGCTGAAAGCAAACTTGATTAGCATAAGTCAACTATGTGAAGATGAACTTAAAGTGGAATTCACAAAAAATAGTTGCAACGTCCTTAATCAGAATCATGAATGTGTTATGATCGGAAGAAAATCCTCAAATAAATGCTACACAAGGGACGGTGATTTATCTTGTCTACAGACAACCATCAATCAAACACAATTATGGCACCAACGGATGGGTCACATAAACTTTCATGACATGAAAAAGGGTTTGAAGAAGGGAGCTTACCGAGGAATTCCAACACTTGACATTGATGAAAACAGAAAATGCGATGCATGTCTTGAAAACAAAATATCCCGAACAGCCCATAAGAAGACCACATGAATACACACTTCTAGAATCCTAGAACTACTCCACATGGACTTATTTGGACCAACTCAGACAGAAAGCATAGGGGGAAAGAGATATGTCTATGTAACAGTTGACGACTATTCAAGATTCACATGGGTAAACTTCCTCAAAGAAAAGTCTGAAGCATTTACAACATTCAAAACTCTCATAATCAAAATCCAGAATGAAAAAGAGGGAAGAATAGGAAAAATCATTCGCCTAAGAAGTGATCATGGAAGGGAATTCGAGAATACAAAATTCAAAGAATACTGCACAGAAAATGGAATTCATCATGAGTTCTCCGCACCAAAAACACCTCAACAAAATGGGGTAGTTGAACGAAAGAATCGAACCATCCAAGAAATGGCAAGAGTTCTTTTAAATCATAAAAGACTTCCATCTAAATTCTGGGCAGAAGCAGTTAACACAGCATGCTACTTGATAAACCGAGTGTTCATACGTAAAGAAATCAACATGACTCCATATCAAATCTGGAAAGGAAGAACACCAAACCTAAAACACACACATGTGTTTGGAAGCAAATGTTATATTCTAAGAGATAGAGAACCATTGGGAAAGTTTGATATCAAAGGAGATGAAGGGATCTTCTTAGGATACTCATCAAACAGCAGGGCATACAGAGTATATAACCTCAGGACAAACACTGTCATGGAATCTATCAATGTTGTGGTCAATGACACAACAAAAGATTTTCCCACAAATGATGAAGAAATAACTGTTGTTGAAACAACAGTTCCAACATCACATAAACAAAAGTCTGAATCAGAGACGTCAGAAAAGGAAGAAACCGTAGACCCTGATGAAGAAGAAGAAATTCTTACCACTAATGAGACCAGGGTACAGAAAAATCATCCAGTAGAAAACATTATAGGAAAACTGAATGAAGGAATCAAAACTAGAGGAAAGAAACGTGACTATCAAAAAATGGAAGAAGGAGACTATGACTACTGCTACACATCAAAAGTTGAACCTAAAAACATCACGGAAGCATTAAAAGATGAATTTTGGGTGGGAGCCATGCATGAGGAATTGCAACAATTTGAAAGAAACAATGTCTGGCAGTTAGTCGCTAAACCAGAGAATGCCAATATTATAGGGACAAAATGGATCTATAAGAATAAAACAGACGAACAAGGAAACATCATACGAAACAAAGCCCGAATAGTGGCACAAGGGTACACTCAAGTCGAAGGAACAGACTTCGAGGAAACATTTGCACCAGTAGCCAGAATTGAATCAATCCGGCTACTTATAGCAGTAGCTTGCATTCTCAAGATAAAACTCTACCAAATGGACGTTAAAACAGCTTTCCTCAATGGATATCTAAAAGAAAAAGTCTATGTTGCTCAACCAAAAGGGTTTGAGGACCCTCATTTTCCACAAAGTGTTTATAAACTCAACAAGGCACTATATGGTCTAAAACAAGCACCACGAGCATGGTACAAATGCCTCACCGAGTTTCTAATAAAAAAGGGGTACAAAAGAGGCAGCGTTGACAAAACCCTATTTGTCAAACATTATGGCCAAGACATAGTTATTTCACAAATCTATGTTGATGACATAGTATTTGGATCAACGCTTGAGGATCACAAAAACCAATTCATTACCAACATGGAAGGAGAATTTGAGATGAGCATGGTAGGAGAACTAACCTACTTCCTTGGTCTACAAATTCAACAACAAGAAAATGGAATCTTCATATCACAAAGCAAATATGCCAAGAACCTAGTCAAAAGATTCGGTCTTGAAGAAAGCAAAGTTGTCAGAACGCCTGTTCCAACAACAGAACGAATATCAAAAGATTCAGAAGGAAAATCGGTTGAACAAACCCTATATCGAAGCATGATAGGAGGATTGTTATATTTAACCGCTAGTAGGCCAGATCTAAGTTTCGCAGTAGGAATTTGTGCAAGATACCAAGCCAATCCAACAGAACAACACCTAAAAGCAGTCAAAAGAATCATCAAATATGTGAAAGGAACATCAAACCTAGGGTTGTGGTATTCTTTCGACACCAATCATCATCTCACAGCCTATTGTGATGCCGATTGGGCAGGTAACATAGACGATAGGAAGAGCACATCAGGAGGATGTTTTTACCTAGGTACAAATCTAGTATCCTGGATTAGTAAAAAACAAAGCTCTATATCCTTATCAACAGCAGAGGCCGAATACATTGCGGCAGGAAGCTGTTGTACACAACTACTCTGGATGAAACAAATGCTAGAAGACTATGGAATACAACAATCAACCATGATAATTCATTGTGACAACAAAAGTGCAATAGACATCTCAAAAAATCCAGTACAGCACTCAAGAACAAAACACATAGACATCAGACACCATTTTATAAGAGAATTGGTAGAAGAGGGAATCATCAGTCTTATCCACATTAACACAGAAAAGCAACTGGCAGATATCTTAACCAAAGCTCTCGATGGAAACCGTTACACAAAATTAAGGGCTGAAATAGGGCTCTGCACCTTTTAAAAGTCACACATAAAGGAAGGGAAAAGAACTTGGGCCATACCTGCAAGATAAAATCCAAATCCGGCCCATAAAGATTTCAGCCATTAAAGGTCACACATAAAGAAAGGGAGAAGAACATGGGCCATATCTGCAAAATAAAAACCAAAACACAATCCGGCCCATAAAGGTTTCAGCCATTAAAACAAAGATCAGACCCAAACCCGAATCCATACGTCACAGCCCCATTACATCAAACAGAGTCGTCTTCCTCACCCGATTACACTCACCATCAACCCAAAACTCTTACGCTCACTCTCACATTCCACAATCATGGTGAGAACCAGAAATCAAAGGATGGGAAAGATACCTCGAAAAGGAGCGACCTCAAAATTCGCCGGTACCGGAGAATCCTCCAACCCAGTGTGCATCGAAGAAGAGAGCCCTACCAATGTCGCTACAAATTCTGTCCCCATATCCAGAGTTCCGTTTGGGAAACCACAAGAACAGAAAGCCAACACACCAGGTAACCAAAATCTTCCCCTCATCAATCCTGAAGATCAACCTGAATGCATGCCCATTGCGGCTGATCTAGGGGACAATCGAATTGTCGACCCAAACGATCTCGTTGTGCAACTTCGGTTTGCTATAAATCGAGGTTGGGAACCCGATTTAGGATCTTATACCAGCTCCAAAGAAAACTCGAAAGAGTCAGAGACAGAGGAAAACGAGGTCCCCCATGAGACAAATCGTTCTTCTTCCTCACCACAAAATGAAGAACACACATCACCCATTGAATCCCCAATTCCAATTTCCCGGGTCAGCGACAACCCTAGAAAACGGAACAGACCCGACCCATTTGAAGGGGCTGATCCTAGAGCCAAAAGGCCAAACGACTTTCCAATACGGGCAGGACCCCCTCAACGACCGCCAAACATTCCATCTACACCTCCAACGAACAAAAAATCGAAAAGAATCATAACAGAGGATGAACAGGATTGGTCACCCCATGAAGATAATGAAAGCTCTGGAAATGAAGGAATAATGACCAGAGCCCAAAAGAATGCCCAACCCTCTGACAGGATAAACCACCAACAGAAAAAATCCACCACCAAAAGGGCTAAATTGACCAGCAAGGCAAAAGGAAAACAGAAAGCAGTTACAACTGATGACTTGTCAAACCTACCAAAACCTCATAGTGCCATCCTCTTGAAAAAGGAATCAGCAGGTCTTTTGAAAAGAATAGTGGGAAGGAAGATCATAAGCCAAAAAATTCTTGACATAAGCAAGCTAGACAATCCAGACCAAATACAAGACATTCTAGTCACAAACCAACTTCTAGGAACAGTGACAAAGATTGAACCCTATGAAGAAAAGGTGGTACAGGAGTTCTATTGCAACCTTACAAGAACCATCTCAACACCAAGCAATCCCATGTATGGCAAGGCCTACCTAATAAACAGGTTCTATGATTTCACACCAGATATTATTAACAAACATTTAGGAACATCAGAAGCATAACAGAACATCGAGATAAACAGTGAGCAAGTTGCACAAGAACTCACAGCTGGGAATGTCACTTTTGAGAAGAACAAAATCAAGGCAGCATCCTTAACAAGCAAATATGCCATCCTCCAGAAGATAGCCCTTGCCAACTGGATGCCATCCCTGCATGAGTCAACTGTGAAATGGGCCCTAGCAGAACTACTATACAAGATAGGGAAAGGAATTAAATTCAATATGGGAGGCATTATTCACTCTCAGATTATAAACCTGGCAGAGGACACAAAGTCCAACACCTCTCTGATTTTCCCAAACCTTATATTTGCCATCCTAGCAGAACAAGGCCTCAAAACACATGAACCCAAAATCAGTGTCAAGAACATCAACACCACTGTCAAGCTAAGGAAAGGAAGTCATCAAAACGATCTAAAGACAACAGCACCAAGAACCAACCCTCTAGATTCCAAGACATTGATCAGCTATTTTGAAAGAAGACTAACAGAACTAGAACTCTCAGAAAAGGAGCTCCTGAGAAAACATTTGGATATCAAGGAAGAAAAAGCAGAGATATCAGAATGGCTAGCAGTCCTAAAAGCAAATGACAAAGAAAATGAAGAAGAAGAACCAGAAGAGGAACACTCTCAAGAAGGAAGGTCCTAATCTTTAGCAAAAAAGGGGGAGAAAAGAAACTTTTGTGAAGCAGGTCTTTTGGAAACTTTTGTGAAGCTTTTGTGAAGCAGGTCTTTTGGAAACTTTTGTGAAGCAGGTCTTTTGGAAGCAGAAGCAGGTCTTTTGGAAACTTTTGTGAAGCATGTCTTTTGGAAGCAGAAGCAGGTCTTTTGGAAGCAGGTCTTTTTGGTTTCTTTTTATGAAGCAGGTCTTTTGTGAAGTAGCAGGAACTGAAGAACAGGAAACAGAACAGTGGAAACAGAACAGTGTTCTTATTATCATTTATTCATCCAGCACACTGTTTGAACTCCACTATGTGCACACTTATATTAAACAACAACTCATCTCACTCAAATCTTTTCCCCAAAGAAAGAAGAACAGAACTCTTTTGACCAAATCAACAAAACACAACAGTGATAAACTCACACACTAAGGGGGAGTCAAACAGCTCAGACAAACCCATTAAGATTGAATGAAGAGACCCACAAATTAAGGGGGAGACTAACCACACATGTCAACTCTTATAAAAAGGCTCCAGAACAAAGTCAATGTTTTTGCTAAAAATTTGACAAAGGGGGAGATTGTTGATAAGTTTGTCAAATTCTAGTCAAAAAGGGATCACCAGGTCATACAAGGATTAGGAATTAGATTCCCAACCTAAATAGGAATAGCAACCCTATTCCTATCTAAACAATATCTCTCGGCCTATAAAAGAAGCTACATCACAACCTCTCAATTCACGCTTTCAACACCTATTTGTGAGCACGAGAGTCATTGAGAAGAGATACCCAAATTCCCCTGAAAAGTAGTACAAGTGTTTAGGTTACAATAGATTTGATAGGATATCATATTGTGTAATCCCCGTTCCCTAAACCAAGTGTACTTTGAATATCAAGCTTTTAGTGGATTTAGGCAAATTCTCAATTCGAGAAGTGCCTCGCAGTTTAGGGTTGTTTGCCCAAACTGTGTTATAAATTTATTGTGTCACAACATCAGTTTCAACATACACGTTTCAAACATCTATATTAATTTCAATTATAATTCTAAAAATTATAATTATAAATTTGATAAAAATATTATTAATAATTATAAATTTAATAATATTATTATTGATAATAAAAATTTGTAATTTAATTAATAAATATAAATTTAATAAAAATAATAACTTAAAATTAAATAAAATAAAATTAATAACTAAAAAATAAAAACAAAAATATTAACAAGTTAAATTAAAAATTAAAAACTAAAAAAAAAAAAAAAAAAAAAAAAAAAAAAACACACACACACACACACAAAAGCTGGCCGTTGCAAATGCAACGACCAGCAAAATAAAACAAAAAGACTTCAATTGAGAGTGGCCACCAGCTGGCGGCCACTCTCAAATCTCAATGGCCCATGCGGGCCACTAGATAACCTTTTTTTTTTTTTTTTTTTTTTTTTTTTTTTAATTCTGACACATGGCTGACAAAATGGGAGGGTGTTGCAAGAGAAAATTTTCTCCAAAATGCAACACCCCCATTTGTTAAAAGTTTGTTAGACAAGATTTTATTATTCCAAAATTTAGTAAAATCCCTATATTGGGGATGCCCTAAGAGTTTATATATTTTTGTTATATTTAAAATTTAAAATAACACAATACACTCATACCTTTAAATGCTATTTTACATGCAATAAGTTAATAGTAATTAGTTAATTTACCAAACACTTTTTTATAACCAGCTAATACAATCAGTTGGTCAAACCAACTAACGCAATCGTTTATTAACTATCATATAATTCGATAAGCTATTGTTTAAACTATAGGAAAACTTATTTATTTTAATTCTTTGTACGTAGGGGAGATAATGGTCAAAAGTCATTGCACTTGGAGGTGGTCGATGACATTAAACAAGTTCTAGACGAACACAACGTATTGATTAAGTCGTTTAGAATGGCTAAGACGGAAATTGAAACTAATCCTAGGACAGAGATAAGAATAAGACTAATAGGAAAGAGGACAAAGGATGCCAGAACATATAATTTACCTACTGTATTGGAGGTCGCCGCTCTCATAGTTGGAGTCCTTGATATGTTGCTGCATCAAGAATAAGTAGCCCAGGCGGTCTCAAAATATTACTTTGTGGTGAACCACAAAATTAAATAGTTGTACTTATACTACTGATGGGGTAATGACCCCGGCCCAAGACATAGGGGCCCAAAGGAAATGGTTCAAGACAGAAGAAGTGGGCCAGCGTCTGAGGAGCCTGAAGAGCAATTGGGCCGAGTCCTGGAGTCGGCCCAGGCCCAGGCACGGGGCCCGGGTCAGAACTGCTAAAGAGGGGCCCAGTGGGAGCTTAGGCTGAGACGAGGAGTCGACCAAGGCCCAAGCCCAGGAAAAGACTCGGTTCAAGGAAGCCGTTGAGAGCATTGAAGAGGCTCGTTTAAAAGGGGAGCCGTTAGGACATTGAAAGCAGGACCCGGTCAGGCTGTTACAAGCCTAGAAGAGCCGTTGGTCGGCCGAGTAATGGCGTCCAACGGCTCCACACCTTGATTAGTCTTAAATTCGGCCATTAAAGGCCTTCAAGTCGGTAGGGGAAGAGCCGCTATTTAAAGGCTCCTCCACTCTTGTAAAGGGGGAGACGACTGAATACCCGGAGAGGGGAAAATACGAAAGAGATTCCGAGCGCTAGCATTATTTCCAGTATAGGCATACATTTTTACTGAAAGGTGTATCCTCCAGCTAAAGGTTGTGTTGGACCTCCTTGGGCCCGAAAACCCAGAAACCATCACTGGCACCGTCTGTGGGGATCGAAACTAAGAGTCACGTGTCCTCTTGAGTGAGGCGAGTCCGAGGAACGACAATTAGAATCTTAGTCGAATTAGAAAAGCCCTGGACATGGCAGGAAGTGAGGAACAATCAAGCCGTCATGACAATGGACAGGAGGCAGACCTGAGAAGCCAGCTGAATCGGAGAAACGCCGGAGCCGGGAAAATGAGACAACACCGCCTCCGACACCACCGATAAACCAACAATTGCCCCAAGTGCTGCTTACCCCAGAGCAGCTACGTGTAATCGGGCGCGCCTGCGCCGAAGCAAGCCTAGGAGTGAGAGAACAGTCCGTCACTCGCCAGCCACAACGCGATTCACAGCCGCCCCATAGGCCCGATAACCGGCAACAGAACCGACGGGCCGAAAACCAACCAGTACAATCCATTCATTCTCGGCTGGGTCCCAGCGTCGGGCGGCGGTCGGCAAGAGAACGATTGGGTCGGAAGGAACCCAGTCATGCCCCGTTAGTCGCTCGCGATCGGCAGGTTGCACGAGAGAGGAACCGTACCAAAAGAACCAGGACTGAGACTCGCCGCATGGAGCAACCCCCCCCCCCCCCCCGCCCCCCCCCGCAACCACGACCAACCGGCCGAGTCTGAAGTCGGTGAGAGCACGCAATTCACGGGAAATCGCACTCGGGAGAGGGTCGAAGTGGCGAATTTAGTCCAAGAAGTGCGAAATCTGAAAGAACGGATGGAGGGGAAAGCCAAATCCCCAGGACGTACGTTATTGACCGCCTTACCCTTCTCGGACGAGGTTATGGCTTTTAAGATACCGAGGTTATGGCGACCCGAGGTCAGACGACCGTACGACAGACCCGTCGCCCACGCCTATCGGCCGGCTCCCGAACGGCCGGTTCACGAGATACAAGCGGTTGCCCTGCCTCCGCCTCCGCCGACCGACGATCGCGCGATGAACGAAGAGACTGGTAAGACCTCTAAGTACTGTCGTTATCATAAATCTTATACTCACAGCACGGAGGAATGCTTCTACCTGAAGAAGATCATGGAGGGTATCATTCAGCAAGGAACCCCGCCTCCTAATCAGTGGAGGCGGAGATCGGTCAATCGAGGGGATGAGGATCCCGCCGCCGTTGCCGAAAACAGTCGAGGCAAGCAGCCGGCTCCCGAAGAGGAGGAGGCTCAGTGGCGCCAGAAGCCGGTTATCAACATGATAGTCGGCGGGCCGGAAGGTGGTGACTCAGCGAACACCAGAAAAGCTTGGGCCCGCCAGCTGTACGTCGGGACGGTGTACGGACGCGAGGAGAACCCTAAAAAGGTGTGCCGAGAGCCTATCGTGTTCACCGACAGAGATTTACCAGCCGGAGAAATACCGCATCGAGATGCGTTGGTTATAGCCATGGACATCAATGGCGTTGTCGTTCGACGAATCCTGGTAACACCGCAAGCAGCGTCAATGTGCTATACCTAGAAACCTTCATCAAAATGGGAATGACTCGAGAACAGCTGAGTCCTGTCAAAACCCCCCTCGCCGGTTTCACAGGGGACTCGGTGGAGGCGGAAGGATCGATCACACTTCCAGTTGAGATTGGCAGTTACCCAGATGTACAGAAACTCAGCATGAAGTTCATTGTGGTGAACCTGGCCTGTTCGCATAACGCTATACTCGGCCGACCGGGCCTCAAGGATCTAGGAGCCCTGATTTCAATCGAGCATCTTTGTTTAAAATTCCGCACGCCAAACGGAATAGGTACGGTGCGCTGTGACCGAAAAGTCGCCCGCGACTGCTATCTACAGGCATGCAGAGGGATGGGCAAACGCGAGATACATGTCCATGATATCACCGAGAGGCCCCCAAAAAAGACGATAATACCACGTCCGGAGCCTGCCGTCGAATTGGAAGAAGTCGAGATCGACTCCACACAGCCGGACCGACGGGTCCGAATCGGAGTCGGCCTCCCCGAGGAAGTAAAAGAAGAAATTATAAAGGTGCTCCGGGAACACCGGATGGTCTTCGCCTGGTGCCCGGAGGACATGCCTGGCGTCGACCGATCGATCATATCGCACAGACTCGCCGTGGATCCCGGGCATCGACCGGTTGTGCAGAAGAAGCGATATCTGGCCAACGACCAAAGAGAATTTGTGAAGAAGGAAGTGAGCACGCTACTAGCAGTCGGACACGTCCGCGAGGTTAAGTACCCGGAGTGGTTGGCGAACGTGGTCCTTGTACCCAAGCCCCCGGCGTGGCGGATGTGCGTGGACGACACCGACCTTAATAAGGCCTGCCCAAACGACCCATTTCCCTTACCTCGGATCGATCAACTGGTCGACGAGACGGCGGGGTCGGCATTGTTGAGCTTTATGGACGCCTTTAGGGGGTACCATCAGATATTCATGCACTCGGCGGACGAAGAAAAGACCGCGTTTCTGACACCAGACGGAGTTTATTGTTACCGAGTCATGCCCTTCGGGCTCAAAAACGCCGGAGCCACATATACCCGAATGGTGGCTCGATTATTTCAGCACCTGCTGGGGAAATCGATGGCCGCGTACGTCGATGACATGCTCGTCAAGAGTCGAGAGGAGAGCAAACACGCAGAAGATTTGACCGACTGCTTCAAAGTGATGATAAGGTACAACCTCCGGCTGAACCCTAAGAAATGCGCGTTCGCCGTGCAAGGTGGAAAGTTCCTGGGCTACATGGTCACCAAGCGAGGTATCGAGCCTAACCCTGAGAAAGTACAGGCCATCGTCGACATGCAGCCTCCCAGCACTATAAAAGACCTGCAACGGCTGACCGGCCGATTGGCCGCCCTTAGCCGCTTCCTAAGCAAGGCGACGGATAAGACCGTGCCTTTCTTCGAAGCCATGAAGAAGAAGGAGGGATTCACTTGGACTCCGGAGTGCCAGCAGTCGTTTGAATAACTAAAACAATACCTCTCGACACCCCCGGTATTGTCTACCCCCCAGGTGGGCGAGCCCTTATTTCTGTACTTAGCCGCCTCCTGCAAGGCGGTGAGTTCGGTGTTGGTCCGAGAGGAAGAGCGAGTCCAGCACCCGGTTTACGTGAGCCGGTCTCTGAAGGCTACCGAGTCAAGGTATACCGCCTTGGAAAGAATTGTATACGCGTTGGTGATCACCGTGCGCAAGTTGGCACCCTACTTCCAAGCCCACACCGTCCGAGTACTGACGGACCAACCACTCGGAAGCGTTTTGCGAAACCCATCATCGTCCGGCCGCCTGGTAAAATGGGCCGTAGAATTAACCCAGTATGGGATTGAGTACCAGCCCCGGCCTTCCATAAAAGGGCAAGCCTTGGCCGACTTCTTGGTCGAATGCACGGCGAGCGAGGAAGAAAAGGAACACGCCACGGAGAACTGCTTAGGCGAGTGGTGGGAAATGCATGCGGACGGAGCATCAAGCCGACAACACTGTGGAGGTGGTGTTATGCTCATCACTCCCGAAGGATTCCGACTGTATTATGCCCTGAGCTACCTGTTCCAAGCCTCCAACAACGAGGCCGAGTACGAAGCTGTGTTAAACGGCCTCCGACTCGCCAGGGCCCTAGGGGTCGAGAGGTTACGAGTCAAGACTGACTCTAGGTTAGTAGTCGGGCAGATCTCAGGCACATGCGAGGCCAAGAATGCCCGGATGACTCTATATAGAGAACGCGCAGTCGAGATGTTAAAAGAGTTCGGAGCCTACGAAATAGAGTATATATCCCGAACGGATAACATAGAAGCTGACATATTGTCCAAGATTGCCTTGGAGGGAGTACCGGACCACTTGGCAAAAATCTGTCAGAGGGAGGAGCTAAGTCGACCAAGCGTTGAAGAAACGCCGTTCAGGATCCAACAAGTGACTGACGAGGAATGGGACCGAGAGAAAAACCCAGAGATGTTCTGGATAGAGGACATCCGGCGATTCATATAAAAAGGCGAGTTACCGATAGACCTGGGAGTCGCCGCAAGGGTTCGACGGAAGGCCCCCACTTTCCAAATCATTGATGGGCAACTATATAAACGATCATTCGGAGGACCTTTGTTAAAATGTTTGCTAAGGCCCGAGGCCGAGAAAATAATGGACGAAGCCCATAGAGGCATTTGTGCCGCGCACCAAGGCGCCCACACGCTTGCTCGGAAGTTAGTCGTCCAAGGATATTATTGGCCAATCATGATGCGAGACTGTATTGAATGGATATCCAAGTGCGGCGTTTGCCAGGCATTCGCCAAGAAAGACACCCGGCCAGCTACCTTTTACACGCCGGTCACCACCGCCATCCCATTTGCCAAGTGGGGGATCGATTTGCTAGGACCATTA